TTCCTGCTCCACATCTCATGATTTAATACACCACCTCTCACTTTAAACCAAGAGTTTCCCCATAGCTGAGGATCAAAACCCGGGCCCTCACACTGTGGTTGACAATTTACCCACTGGTTCCAGGGTATCTAGATCATTAATGGGAACTCCCAAAATTTAATGGCCAGATGATGGTGTCAATGTTCAAGCACTGAGGACTGCAGGTGTCATGGTGTCTTTTTGTAATGCAGGGGTGCTCGGCCTGCAGGACTGTCTGCTGAGGGAGACCCGAGGCTTCTCTCCATAACAGAGTATGTTGCCTCCAGAGCCGTGTGCGAGTTAGCCCTCGCACAGACCATCTGCTGCCTGTACAGCCCCACTGTGGATAAATTTGTTCTCCTTGTCATCTGTCTGGGCCTCAACGAAACAAACAGAGACTGCATGTTCTTCCTGCTCCTGGAGCGATGTGCCGAGGTCAGAGATGAGACCCAGAAAGGAGAAAACCATGTTGTTCCTGCCCATCCTGTGTCTGCTCTTGCAGTGAACCAACAATTCCATTTTCTTAGCCTGCCGGTCTGAGGTCTTTCTTAAACACCAAATTCATACAGAGAAAATAAATGTCAGCTCAGTAATAACTCATCCAATTGCAATCTCATATGCCTTTATATATTACGCTTCTAGTAAAATGTACAGGACTAGAAAGAAAATTAAAGCCTAAACTCTGTCTCATCAGAAACCATAAACTTCCTGGAGATTTTCTTTTGCCTCTTTCCTAACAACATACAAAGGGTATCAAAACAAACAAATCTTACTGTAAATACAGTAAAATAAACTTGGCATGCCATCAGTTAGAGAAAAGGAAAGACAGCCTTTCCCACACAAACAATTTATGAGGTTCTGCCTCTTTCAGATCACCTCTCTCGCTCCTGGTAGTTTTGTGCTTTGCATTTGCAGTAAAAGACAAACGCTGAGGGCGCAGGGGGAGGTGTGTTACTTTTTTTTGCCACCAGAAATGTTTCAGGGGAAAAAAAAAAAAAAACAAAACACGCAAACTAAACCTAAGTACAGCATCAGATGCAGAATCTGCTAGGCTCACTGGAAGAATTCTCATCTGCCCGAGCAGGCTCTGGCTGAGGCTGTGGGCAGTGACAGGGGAGGAGTAAAAGGACTCGGGTCACTCGAGTTCCTGAGCGCGTATTTCATTTCGAGTACCTCAGTGCGGTCCACAGAAGTTGCTGGTGCTCGAGCACATGCTTAAGAACAGCTGGCGATCCGCTTTGCTTGACGTGACATCAATCCCTGTTTCCTACAGGAATGAGCTGGCATTTCCAGCATGGAACTGCAAACGCGGATGGGATTTGCTTCCCAGTTTTAATGTGGTCAAGCTGGATGCTCTGATTAAAGGCACTATATGTAGTAATTAAAAATCACGCAAGTGGTTTTTGCCAGCACACTGGAAATCCCTGCATTTAAGATAACGTCTTACACATTTCAAAGCAGCAGG